GCGTAACTTTAATTATTCAGATAAAATTGTTTAATGTAAACCAACTGATGTCGAAGGTGCCAGTTATTATTTCTGCTGTTAATCGTTGGTCACCCTCATTTTTGGACAAAATCAATATTTTCTTCACAAACTGTTGTTGATAGTCTTATGGCCCGTTCATAATATTTTAGACTGTTTTCTACAAGTCCTAAGAGCCACTCAATATAGAGGGTTACTGAATGTGGTTGTTGAAAGGGCTTAACGAGATGAGGTAAAATGCATATTATAAGGTCAGTTATCAGTAAGAAAATATCTGATTTTTCTGAAACTACACCTAGTATAGTTAATAGATACCCAATTTATTTTCGTTTGCCTTGGCTAGATGCAGTAAGTGAGAAATTCACCAAACAAATTTTCTCTGCAGTAGAGAATTATTATGTCTCTTCTAGTGTACGTTCTATGTTTTCTACTAAAGCTGTTTTGACGTCAACCCAAAAGGATGATCTAACCCCCACCCTAACATAATGTTATTTATCATTTTAAATGTAGCTGCAGTGCCGACTACTTTGGTAGAACAACCCAAAGTTTAGATGCTAGAATACAGCAGCATATACCTAGAAAATGGAACATTCCAACTAAAGGACGTTCTGAACAATATATATAGTTCGTCCATCACGGAGCATCTTATTAAAAAAACCAAATTGTACCGCTAACTTTAGCATTGACTCTTTTACCATCTTGAGTCGTGCTCTCTCTATATTACCCATAAAGGTGTTGGAAACAATTTACGATCCGTCTAGACAGCCCTCCCTCTGTAAACAGAAGGAGTGTATGTTAGGACTTAACGTGATTTCAATTTAAATTGTATCGCGCCTTCATTAATATTACATAACGTTTTTATGTTTTATTTTTATTGCAATATATAATCTCTCGATCCAGCTCTGTTGAGTGAGAACGAAACCGGCATTGTTTGTTTTATTTTTCGTTTTTCTTTTTAATCATTAAAAGTAAAATAAGTCTAACCTTTTTTATTGCTATAATATTATAAGTAGGATAAACAAAGGCTGGTCCTAGATTTGTTGATATTGATATCGTAGTGATCGGGGAAACATCCTCTTTGGAATCTGTTACACAATGTGTTCTGCATCAGAATCTGTCTGAGTAGATCTTTTTCCTTATGTACGCAGAATGGTGGGTCCTATTTGTAAAGATCTTAACTGGTGGAATTAAGGAATGTAGCTCGTCTGAGCACTTACCATGATAATAGCGATAATGTAGCGACAAGGGAACAAGGTTTAATCTGTGGAAAGATTTGTAATGTGGAAAATAATTCATCTCCTATAAGGCCGCGTAAACTATTTTGAACTCTGTCGTGGTCGTAAAGTGAGAATTCTTGTAATGATAGAGCAGGTCCGGTAGAGTCAGATACTTTCTAGAATAGTACAAAGAACCAACTGTTTTACCAACATCGTTAGCGATGTATCGTATATATGTGTTCCACTTGAGGTTTCCTAATAGATGTTTAAATAAAACAGAGTATCATTATGAATACAAGCGTTCATCAGAGTGGGAAAAATTTATTGTCTATACGGTTATGATGAAACGTTACTGACTTAGTTTTGGAGGCATTGAATGTTACAGGTCAGTTCTTCTCACATTGAGCTTTAAGAGCTAAGCTAAAGGAGAGATTAGCTACCAGGACCTGTCATCTAGATTTTTGGAGGTGCATCTATAAACCGTGGTATCACCCACACATATATTTACAAATGATCTGAGAATATTACTAAACAGGTCGTTAATCTAAATCAGAAAGAGGACCACCGAAAGAGGACCGCTGAGTGACGCCTGCATTGATGTCAAGGGCTTCAGAGAAGTGGACATTAACGACGACCTTCAAGCATCAATTTAGGTAAAGTGTCAGTGTCTAGTATCATAAATAGATCTGAGATCATCTCATCCTCGTCAGATAAGGCAAAGCTTAATATTTTTATCACAGCCCGAGCATTCTCATAACTTAGCAAAAGTTCAGAAGTCTACCTGTAAAGATAAAATCGCAGTGGTTGTCCTTAAGAATATTAACTATGAGTTATCACTGATCTTAGTAAATCTATTTAATCGCTGCTCAAAAGTCAAGTATTTCAAGAATGCGGCTGAGCACGAACCCCACTCTCAGAATCGAGAGACGAGCCCCCCTTAGTATAATTCCGAAACTTGTAGAGGCTATAACAAAAACAAGATGTTCGTTGGCCACCTCAATAGGAAGAATCTCTTGAGGGACAAACAGTACGGATTTCGATCTGCTCAGTCCACTGCTGATATCCTGTTATTACTCACAGAATCAATGAAACAGTAGGCAATAAATACATCTTAAAGATTGTCGCATTAGATAGCTTGAAGAACTTTGACATGGTGTGGCATAAAGGGTTACTGCGCAAGCTCTTTAGCTATGGAATCATTGAAAGAGTCTTCTCAATTATCAAGTCCTTCCAACGGGTAGGTCCCTGAAGGTAGTTGTTAACAGCCAGTCCTCTGAGACCCCAAAATCACTTCTCAGTTCAACTCGCTTTCTACTTTACATTAATGATCTGCCTAAGGGTATATTCCGATCTTTTTTGCGTATCAATGCTGATGGTACAATGGTATATGAGTGTCTAACAGCTGATCTCTCTTCTGAACTTGCTCTAATAGTTCAGTGGGTGGAAAATATCGCTGGTTACCTTTAATACCTCGGAAACTAGTGACGTTCTGAGATCACCGAGTGGACCCCGAATTTTTGTCTATCCCGGTAAACGGGTGTTCCCTAAGCGAGGCCCAGTGACTTTAATGTCTCAAATGGGAGTCCTACATACGATCCATCGTTAAAAAGGCTGGGAAAGATGATCGGTCCCCTTTACCACTTCAGTAAGTACCTAAGCCCTGCTATCCTCTAGAAGAACCAGAATAAGCCTAAAATGGATTAATGTTGCCATATATGGACAGGAGATGCGATTCTCGTTTCAGTCTCGATAGAGCCCTAAAGCGTATACGCGGCCTTGTTGGTGATGTATTATTTTCCACCCTATTTTCCACAGACGAAACTTTTCAAGACATTCGTTACTCTATCGCTATTTCCATGGAAATTGTTCAAACTACATTCCTTAGTTCCACTAGCTCTCATCTTCACAGCTAAAACCTGCCATGCCCCTCGCACAATTTAGCGAAACACATTCATTCTCTTTGTATTCCATTAGTGAGATATAAGTTCCACTCGAACAGCTTCTTGCCAAGAAACGCCACTATATTGAAACGATTCCCCGATCACTACAATCTTAATCTGTTCAAATTTAGAGTTAACTATTATCTTCCCCACATTCCTCAAAAACAGTGCCTCCTTACCTCTTACTCTTTAACCCTCTACTCTTAAGTGGCTCATTGACTCGGTACATTGTAAAAAAAAAAAGAACAAATATATGTTCTTATGACCTGCATATTTTGGATTTATTTATAAATAAAAATTTATGTTGCCATAATAAAACCTGTATCCTCAAAAATGAAATTATCAAGAATATTCAATAAGTTGAAACTCAAATTATATATTACAATAATTACAGATAAATTTACTAACTTCAATGATCTGCCTCTATGTGAAGGGTTTATCGGAAAAGATACAGAAGATCATTGGCCCATATAACATTAAGACAATCTTCAAGAATGGTTCAACACTACACAGACATCTCTTCCGAGTAAGACCACCAATAGAGGAAAACATGATTAAGGACTGCGTGTACGTCATCCCGGGCAGCTGTGGCAAGAAATATAATGATAAAACAGATCAATCCCTTAAGATAAGAATACAGGAACACCATAAAAACGTAACACGAGGTGTAATAGACAAATCAGACATAGCTGAGCATATATAAAGAGAAAAGGGAGATCACAACCCTCTGTGGGATGAAGTTGAAATAATAGAGAACATCACTGGAAAATACGAAAACAAGGAATCAACATATATGCTAATCCACAAAATTCTCCTGCGGTCAGTCATAGACATGAATGCAATATGGGAACCAGGAATACAGGGAGCTTGAGAAGAAGAAAAAACAACAATAACAAAAAAATTGTAATATGAACTCTGGTAAAAAGGTTACAGAGGTATTAGGTTTATAAATCCCCAAAATCCCCTGATTGGTGCAACCCCCCCACCCCCAGTAAATAACAGCGTTGGTTGAGTAATCCAGAAAAATTACTTAACCTGCTGAATTGTGAGTCCAATACCTGGCCACAGCAGATGGAACAAAAACTTGGAGATTTAAGTTATTAAGGGGGATTAACTGAAACTGAGGTATCCAAATAAAGTATGGCATGTGAAACTAGAACAATATACTCCGTGGACTAAATAAAGGGTCCAGTTCGAAATTCCAACGTATATCACCTGAAGAAGGCCCGAGTGCACAGCGACCGAAACGTCGTGAATACGGTAATAAAGATAAAGACAACATCCCGAATTATGGAAATGGTATAAATAGTTAAACTGCCTCATCTCAGAAATTTAGACAGAGTTTCAATCTTATTATGAAAACCTTTATATGCTTAATCAAATCTAACACAGTATAAGTTTCGAAGGAAAGAAATAAACAATGGTAAAGTCTTTATACTTAAAAAGGGCATAGAAACTTTTTCAAGAATGTTTACACAAGTCCAGATAATTAATAGTTCGTTGTCTTTATAAATAAAAACAAAAACTGCACCATACTGCCACGCACCCATAAATGATACTTCTTGATCTCGTATTTAAAGACGATTCGTTCTTGTTGAAGATAAACAAATTATTTTGCCGGAAGCAAGTCATCGGTGAAATTAGCCAGTATCACTTTCACCCGAACAGCAACATATGTGCACATTTTTCTTTCTGACGCGCTCTCACTAGCATTTGCTGGACAAAACAAAAAGCTGAGAGGTGTGTTATTAAAGTCCGTCTAATTTTCAACATTACATGACTCGAAGATCGTAATAACAAGAGAAGACGTTATCAGAGCTGCATATCAACGCAGCTGTCCTTTTTTTGCGATGGAAAGAGCCAGGGAGGTGGAGATAAAAAGGAGGAGAATAAAAGAAGAGGGTTGGTTTTTGAATAAAGGTGAGAAAATGTGTGCGAAATGGAACTTAAGATAATTGCTCTTTTGCTGCCGACGAAAGAGAGTAGAAAGGAAGAAAGAAATGTCGGTAAGTACCATAAAGAAGAAAAAACTCAAGGAAGGACCTGAATAACAAATAAATGATATAATGAAAGGTATAGAAAGATTGGAAGAAGATATCAAAAGCGAAAAGTGGTAAATAGTCGGCGGGAAATATGGAAAGGAAAGAAGAAAGGGTGATTTGAAGAAAATGATTAAAGGAAGAAAATAGGACGAAAAGAAAGAAGATTGAGAAAATATTCTGGGAACAAGGCGGGGGGGGGGAAGAAATTAAAAAGAAAATAATATAAAAGCAATATAAAAAGTAAAAATGTAAAGCAAAAATAGAAAGAAATAATAAAATGACAAAACATAAATATAGAAAAAAAATATATAAATGAAGAATAAATAAGATTACAAAGACAGAAAGAAAAAAAGATAGAAAAAAAGAAAATGAGAAAAAACAGAAATAGAAAGAAATGAAGAATAAATAAAATTACGAAGAAAGAAAGAATAAAATGAGAAAAATAGAAAAATATATAAATTAAGAATAAATAAAATTACAAAAAAGAAAGAAAGAAAAAATAAGAAAAAGAAATAACAATAGAAAAAGATATAAATAAAAATGCGTAGAGAAATTAAGAAATAAAGAAATATTGAACTACGGAAATTTACAAACGTTTAAACAAATTAAATTTAAACCAAACCGACAAAAAGAAAGGAGAGGGAAATTCATGAGAGAGAAAGAATAAGTGTGAGAGAAATTAAGAAAGAAATAAAGAAAGAAAGAAAGAGGGGAAGAGAAAGAAAGTGAGAAAGGATTATCCGAATAAATAAACAAACACACCAACAAAGGTCCTACTTGATAACCTGCTGTTTGACAGTAGCAGTAAAAAGAACGACAAACAAAAGCGCCTGGCAACCACTAATTTGAATTGAACGAAAGACATAATTGGCTTTTTTCTGTATTTCGTACATTTGGCTGGTGTTGGACCTTCTGTCAGATGAAAGGCTTCTTCACTCCTTATTAGAATGTTCTTTTCAGTGTGAGATGCATCCGAAATCAGAGTCGTCCCAACACCTTGAATTATTTTGATATTTTTATCTGATCAACTGCCTCATGTAGTCTGTAGTTTGTTTTTATTTATTTGTTTATTTAATTCGTCTTGCTTTCCTTCTTTCTTTCTCTCATTTTCTGTTCTGCTTTTGATTTTCATTTTTCATTTTCTACTTTCCGCTTTCTTTCTTTAACTTCTGGATACTTTCATTTTTCGATTTCTTTTCTCTTTCTTACATTTTTATGACTTTTCTTTCTTTCTGTTTTCACCTTAGAATTTTATTTCTTTCTTTACTTTCTTTATTTCTATATTCGTTTTTTCTCTTCCTTTTCTTACTTTCGATTTCCTCTACAAATTTCTTTTCATACGCTTTTTTTCTTCTCTTAATTTTTCCTTTATTTTCTGTCTTTCTTTCTTTCGTTGTTTTCTTTCTTTATTCGTTTCTTTCCTTTTTTTTGCCTTACTTCCTATTTCTGCTTTCTTTAACATTCATTCATTTTTCCTATCTCTTTCTTTCCCTCCGTCCCTTTCTCTCTCTCTATTTTTTACTGTTTACTTTCAATTCATTCAATTTCTTTTCTTGTTGCTCTCTCTCTCTCATTTTTATATTATTTTTTTTCTCCTCATTCCAACATTTTTCTTTGAATTCTTCATTTTTACGTACTCATTTTTTACTGAGACCCTTTCCTTTTTTAAATCATTATTTATTCTTCTGTTTATAAAAATCCATTCTTTCGTGTATGTGTGTGTGTGTGTTTTCAATCTTTTAGAATATTTGGTTCTTTAATTCCACGTACCCCAGCTTTATCGACACCTGACAAATATAATTCTTTTTAAAATGTCATTCAAACAAACGAAATCCATGATCCTAAAACACACTAAACATATATACGGATTAATCATTTTCAGTTAAGACTTTAAAAGTTCAAAAAATGAACAGATTTTAAATTTAACAGAAAAGTGATATAAAAATTTAATATAACTTACAATTATTATTGCTTTCATTGTATTAGGTTGGTGCAGAAATAATGTCGTTTTTTTGATTTGAGGAACATCAAAAAACGACATTATTTTTGCACCAATCTAATGTATATCATGGTTATTATATTTAATTTTGAATTCATATATGCATTGATTATTAATATTTCTTTCAAAGTTTTTCCCACAGTAATTGTTTTTCTGTATTCGTATTTATTTGTCTTCGTACAACTATCCTGAAAATCGCTTCTTTTTTTTTTTTTTACTTTCTTTTTGCTTCCCTAAATATATATATCTATATTGTCTTTTCTTGCTTTTATTTATATTTTATTAATTGGTTATTTACTGTCAATTAATTTTTATTGTTATTTTATAAATAATGACTTCATAATCTCCGAGTATTATAGATTTAAAAATTGCCTTGCATCCTAATGTTTGTATTTACCTAACGTTATATACATTTTGAGGAGCTTCTAACATACGTAATCATATATATATATATATATATATATATATATATATATATATATATATATAAAAATGCTTATGTTCCGAAGGTTGTCATTGCTGGGGCGTTAGTGAAGACAAGCTCGCACTATCAATAGAATGCTTCTCAAATAGCATGTGACAACTAAGTCCAGCTCCAAGGTAGAGAAGAGGCGAAAACGGACCACTGTCGTTTAATAACCAGTCACCTCCTGAAGGCTGCCCATCTAAGAAAAGGAAAACCCTTATTTTAAACCTCAACTGCCTTGCGGCTATAGCCAACCACAAAAAAAAAAGCTATGGGCGTAAATACAGACAAAAAAAGTCCGAAGTGAATCTCTGCGGGCACTTGGCTGTCATTGCTTATAATCCTCAGTTAACTCCTATAGATCTGTATTCCTTTGGATGTTGTTGGTACGGCCGAAAGCAGGCAAGTGCACGGTCTATTTACCATCGTCCAGGCCTGCGCTCTAGAGGCATCAATCCAGTTTTATCAGCCGCTGAAAGCACAGTACAGGAGACAAAAAGCGAAATCAACAGTTGGACGTTAGATAATGTAGGAATCGGAGTGAAGGGAAGCAATTTAAAATTTTCGTTCCACATTCTAGCTTCATCTGTCATACTTGCAGAAGAGAATGTCATGCAAAGAACGGATTGTAAAAACACTCCAGACAAAAAGTATTGAATTTTAACCAAACAGTGATTTACCATTATCTCCCAAGCTAAACAGATGCCTACAACCTATTTCTAATTAGTTATGACTAATCAATTTCCATTAAATGGATTTCTTATGAAACTTTATGCATGAAATACATTCTAAGAATACGTTTTCACAATTTAAATTCATTATCCGAGACAATCGAGTTCGATCTAATATCTTTCTCTTTCATCAAGGCCCTTCCAACTTCCCCTCAAAGTAAGTTACATCCCGGTGGTCTAGAAATCCCTTTCTTAAGAATGAAAGCCACAGTGTAAGAAATTTATAGAATCAAGTGTGAAAGTCTCGTGTGTGCGAGATCATTTTTAGGACGAGATTCTGTTTTTTTGTTATTATAGAATCATCTCTGTCTCAACACCTGAAACAAATGTGCATTTAACGCTAAAATAAAAAAAAAAAAACAGATAGTTTTACTGTTGTGAATGAACATATTTTGTCATCATTAGATTGTATACGATTCCCAAAACGAAATATATACTGTTCATACGAAATATTGCTATATCATTAAGTTTGTGGAGATTAATCATTTTCCAGCCTGCAACCCTTATTCCACAAAATCGTTTGTAACATCGCACTATTCTATCGCTATTACGATCACCGAAGTTAAGCAACGTCAAACCTGATCAGTAGCTAGACGAGTAACTGTTTGGGGATACCAAATTTTGTAAGTTTGGATCTGTGAATAACGGCTCGGAATTGTTAACCAGAGAGCCGAGTTCCAATTCGCATTGGTTCAGTTATATTCGCTTACGCACAAATAACCTTGAGTAAGGTATGAATCCACCTCTTTTCTCTAGCTATGGGTTATTTAGTAAAATTTGTATCAATCGACCATTCTTATATCACCAACACCAAATTCTTAAAATGTTAAAATATTTTCTGGCTTTAAATAACCTGTGAAAATGTTAATAAGCCGTAGAAAACGAATCAATCAAATACGATTTATAAATTTGATACTAAAACGTTTTCTTGATAATCTGACACTAAATTGTTGAGTTCGTTAATCGTTCGACATATTGACTTCGACTCATTTTCGTTTTTTTTTTTTGTTTTTAATTATTGACTGGTAAATCGACTTTCTCGGAAGAAACATACTTTATGTACGTTATATAAATCTTCAAGTAACTTATATTTACTCAACCCTCCACTAGGTCAGATTGTAACACAAGGTCGGTTTAATGTGGGGAGGCCGAACGCGTACACCCGGGCTAGGAACAAAAATTGCCCACAGCCCCTCATTGCTCTCATCTCTTTGCGACCGCCGATCCCGCCCTCTGGTGCAATGAGAAGATGCAGCCTCGACAGCTGATCCCCAGGGCTGGGTACCTCTCAGTATAATTTTCAAAATCTTCAAGTAATTACATAAAAAATTGTTACTCTAGTTTTAGTGCTTTTGTATATATTAATATATTTAGTAGTGAAGATTGTAGAATCAGCAGTAACAGTTGTTGTAGTGTAGTAAACTGCCAAGATAAAAAAAAAAAAGAATATTAAAAAAAAATACAATTTCTGTTGTTGAATAACAATCCTTAGGATTTGTTTAAGTATCCCAAATATTTTTTTAATATTCAATGGCATTTTAACCCATTAATACTCCCCATCTTAAAAGTGAGACAGTGGATATTATTATAGGTGAAACCACGAATTAATACTGGATTTCCTTTATAAAACTACAATTAATATTGGATTTGTTTTTAGGGTATAATTGATTCAAATTAATACCAGATTTTGCGGTAGCTATTATTCAGTTAAAAAGCGATTTAAATCTAATCATGTTATAGTCATTGTTAAAGTCTTAGTGGTATACACAATATATATATATATATATATATATATATATATATATATATATATATATATATATATATATATATGGAGAGATATAGATAGATAGATAGATAGATAGATATAGATATATATAGATTTGGAAAATTCTAAAATATATGTATAATATATAATATATATTCTAATATATATATATATGATTTGGAAAATTCTAAAATTCTCTCTGTTAAGGTTTAATCTCCTCCTTCTCTAGTCTGTTACCCCCTCTTTAGCTCTAACATTCGTCCCACACCCTCATACTTACACTCTCTAAATTCTGTTTTATTTCCGGAGTTGTTTTTTGTTTTTTTTTTGAATTTGTAGGTCTGATGAATTGGATCGTATTTACGATTCCAATGGAATAAATTATGACCATGGAATATTAGTGTTTCAGCCTTTTCTTAGAAAAAAATTTGATAGAGTGGGCAATGATTCCTTGCCAGTGCGAGAAGATTTCAGCACCCACATCGCAGAGCCACACGAAAATAACGTTTATTCTATCTGAGAATAAAAACTTCTTTGTACGAATACAGGAAGCAATTGGAAAAAAACATAGTTACTCGTATGTTTTAGGAAACTGGAATTTCGAAATATATCTTTTTGCTAAACTGGAACGAGTTAATGAGAAAACGTAAGGCATAAGGCCAAATAGTGAGGTGCATTATGTTGTATCAATCTTCCAAGTGGGGAGCCTCTTTCAACATGTTGTATATTCAGCATTGTTACCTAGGCTTAAACGTAGACCCCTCGAGCCGCTAGAAACGATGCAGCTATAGTAAGATTATG